ACGAAAAAAGGGATGCAATTTCGTTGTCGAAGTTAGACAAGAAAAAGCACACAACTGAATGAACACAGAATGACTGTCTGGACGCACAACTTCACGGATGATTCAACTGGTTGATTACAACTGGTCTTTAGTAATCAATCAGACAAAGCCAGGAGTATTTCCACCTTCAGAACTTGGTTTGAAATCTTCACCCATTCTGATTGACAGTGATTTATAAGAACACGAAGAGAAGAGAATGCGGTGTGCGCACAAGATGAAGACATTAGCATAATTGAGAGCTGAGTATGGAGGCGCGCCAAGCAATTCCAATTATCTCTCTCACACTTGTTACTGAAGAAGGAGTTTTCAGCGTTCATGTTGGGTCGGGGACTGCCGCATGAGAAATCACCAAATCTGTCCCTCCAACGATCACTCTGCTCTCACTGGACGTGAATTAATGGATATCGATAATTAGTGCTTTTTTTATGATTTCGCAAACGACCTCGATAAGGAATGGGGTTAAACCATTTTATATCCTCAAATTGCTTAAATATGACTGGAAAATGAGCCACCTCGATAGCCATGGAGTAAACATTAGTGAAGTTTTATACAGCGGATTCAAGACATCTACTCATGAAGATCCTATTGCCTTAGAAGGCACTTTCCCCCATAAAGGCTATGGGTGTCACCACGACCAAACTTTTGAAGTTGAACGATGTTCAGCTGCCAGAAAATAGACAAGTAACCGTTTTGAGAAATATGCCATTGACACTAACCTTGTCAACCACAGAATTCGCTTGAACCGATATCGTCAAATCTCGACCACTACAATCTCCACCTGGGTTCCATCAAAATTTCAGTTGGCAAAAATAATTGACCCGGTAGTAAATGCTTCATCCACACAATCACCACCATTGTTATTCACAGTCAAGATTGTGACGCTACCTCACTCGTAAATTCGTAATTTGGGCAGGATAAGGCAGAGATTTGAGAGCCATTTAATCAGTATGAGATGCAAAAGTTCGTAGTGGAATCATTCAAAATGGTGCACAACTGACAATTTAGTGATCGTAGGAAAGGGCAGAGTAAATTTAAAAAAAGAGATTCTTAAAAAGCACTTTCCAACGATTATCGAGGTAGTACCGGGAATCCTGCCACTGCAATAGTTCAGCGCACAGTTGGGGACGAGGGGAGGCCCAGGTAAAGGTACTGTTATTCTCAGTAGTTATTCTCAATCCAGTGCAATAACAGAATGTACAATGCAACTAAATCGATTATAAGCACCTGAAGTTAACATTTTGCTTGGCGTTTTCTCAGTTCACACTGATAAGCCCTAACAAAATCCCCCCCCCCCCCAAAAGCATTCACAACTTATTTGAAAAACTAAAAAGCTGCAACGAGATGGACCCACCAGTTGCTTAACACGTGACGGTTAAGAAGACAAGGGCCTTCACTCGATTTAATAAAACCCTTAGTATCGCTTTTTTAACATTACCGATGGCACAGTGGTTAACGAACTTGATGGCAATTCAATAAGAGCAACAATCGACATTACGTTGGGTCGAATCAATGATGATAGTTCAAGGTGATAGCAAAAAAAGCTTTAATGTGGATCTAGCAATATTTATTTCAAATGGCAGGCGATTTGGAATCTTCGTGAAATTGTCCATTAAAATGATCAAACGCGCAATTCGAAGGCATCTCCCAAGGCGAAGCAGTTTGTCATACACCAGGAATAATTAAAAAACTTCAATGACATTTAATCAGTGAACAACGAAATCAACTAGACCTCTCATAGGGTAGGCTCGTAGAACTCACGACAGAGAAATAAATATCGCCAATTGAAAGGGAGAAGACCATGACACACTTTTAATGCGCAACGTGAGACTATTCAACTTGCAAATTTAATTTCTTCAAAATAAGACTGTTGTGGTTGCTTCAAGTGGTTTCCGATTCTTTTAAAAAGATTTAATCTTTGTTTAAACCGTAAAAACACCGAAAAAGGGAGAGAGAAAACGGAGTCAATTGCAGGTAATAATAATGTGTATTTGGCAAACAGAAATTGTGCAAAAATAAGTGGCGCAAATAGTAAAACAAAAACCAACTAGAAACTTGCCATTCTCCGTCTTCGCAGAATGCCCGTTTGACGAGTCAAACTCTGCAAGCAAAGAATCAATAAGAATAAAAATAACGAACCCAATCAATCAATCACCAATTAGATTTTGTTAGTAAATTTGGCAAAAAAGATGATCCTTAACCATTAAATCCTTACAAATACTAATTAACAAACCCAAAAGTTAAAAGAGAACACAATTAAGACATTGATTTCCAGTTTTGTTAATCGATTTTACAAGCTTTTAGGGGACATTTAAAACAGATTATATACGCTCGCAACAAATGACTGATCGCGATATTTTAAAATAGTAATAGTTTTTTTCACTACACAGAATTTTAATGTTTATGGAGGAAAGGAGGAGGATTAAGAGAAAGAATTTAAAGCAAATTTTACAAATTGATGGACGAATAACCACTCGCGCACATGAACAAATGCATGAATTTGGAGTTTAGACGATTTTTTGGAGGTCAATAGTAGATTTTTAGGTTGATGCTTAAGAGAAGGGTAAATTTTCCTTAAGCAGTCTCCTCCTTTCCAGCTTGTCTGGCATAGGGGTGGCTTCGAGCCCGTCCACGATTATCGTTTGTTATCATTTTCCCCCAAGTTTCGGTTTGGCCTAGGTTTGAAAATTTTGCAGTTAAAGAGAAGGGGTTATGGTAGTAATTTAGGAAATTGGTTAGAGACCAAACGCCACAGATGCAACACGATGGTCTACCAAAGAGAAATAATAGACAGGAGACCCTGTGAGAGATATTAAAACATACCATACTGAGCTGAATAGTCCTCATAGCCAGTGGCAGCATACTGAGTTTGATCGTAAGCCATTTGATCTGTATATCCGCACTGTTCCATCCCATTGCCATAGACGTCGCCTTGAGTAGGAACTGGAGCAGAACCGTTAGCCGGCACAGTACCGCCAACTGGCCAAGATCCTCTACCCCTAGTAGCACCTCCACGAGCACCACGAATTGTTGGAGAAGAAAACGACCCGGGTGCACCGAAAGGAGGAGGCTGACCTGTAAATGCCCCACGACCTCGGCCCCGCCCACGCATAACCGCACCGCCTCGACCAGGAGAGGACATAACATTGCTTCCCCAAGGGGCTTGTTGTTGACCGTTTGCATCTGGGACCATGACACGTTTGACTTGAGCGAGGGCATGCGAAATATTGTAATAGGCATCGGCTGGCGGGGCAAGACAGTCAATTTGCAGGTGAAGAGGGTGTTTAAGATGCTGATACTTCGGATCACCACCTGACAGAAGCTCTTTTTCCTTGGCTTCGTCTCTTAAAGAACCGCGACCGAGAATAGCCATCTTAGTATGAGTCTCTTCTTGAATTGTTCGGAGGGTAGAACCACCCGGACCGAGTAATTTCCCAACAAAATTAATGCTTGGGTACTGTTCGACAGGTATTGAAACCTTAGCGCGTATCTTCACACGCTTGTTGTCAACAACATCAAGGGTATCGGCTATACCACCACGAAGACGAAACAATTCTAAGAAAAAACTATAAAACGTAAAATAAACATACCATTTTCACCGATTGTCTTTAATGAAGGAAAAGTGTTTTCATCTAAATTTTGTACTTCCCGACTTAAGACCTCAACAGCTTGAGCATTTTCAGCCTTACGTTCCTCACCAGACATGCTCACAAACACACAAAGTGATAATGACCGACTTTCTAAATGACAACTTAAACAACCCAAGGTCAAATTCAATTAAATAGATGTAAATATATTTTTTTAAAATTTTAATTTTACATAAAGAAAATAAGTTAAATTTATTAGTTTGTCATTTATCATAGACATCGAAATTTACTTAAACAATGTTTTCAAGGTTTTCTGTTGATCGTTGTGCTGTTTTCTTTAAGACAATTTCATGGTTTTCATCTTCTTCGAGTAGTCGTGTTAGTGATATTAGAAATGAACTAATTGTTAAGCGCAGTAAAATTCTCCTTGGAGGGGGTCAAAATCGGATTGGCGATCAGCATAAAAAAGGAAAGCTGACTTCACGTGAAAGAATTGATATCCTCCTCGATGATGGCAGTTTTACGGAATATGATGCCTTCATGGAACATAATTGTACTAATTTTGGCATGAAAAAGAATAGGATTCCTTGTGATAGTGTTGTTACTGGACATGGAACTATTAATGGAAGACGGGTTTTTCTCTACAGGTATGCTACTTTTTTCCGTCTGTACTTATATTTGTAGTCAAGATTTTACAGTATATGGAGGCAGTTTGGGTCTAGCTCACTCACAAAAGGTTTGTAAGATTATGGATCAAGCTTTAACTCTGGGAACGCCTTTGATTGGACTGAATGATTCTGGTGGTGCCAGAATTCAAGAAGGCGTTGAATCATTGGCTGGATATTGTGAAATATTCAAGCGAAACGTGGATGCATCTGGTGTTATTCCTCAAATATCCCTTATAATGGGACCATGTGCTGGTGGCGCTGTCTATTCTCCAGCTCTAATGGATTTTATTTTTATGGTTCGCGGTACCTCCCACCTTTTCATCACTGGACCTGAAGTTGTCAGGCAGGTCACCAACGAATCGGTTACTCAAGATGAGTTGGGAGGTGCGAAAACGCATACTACGCTTTCTGGGGTCGCTCACAGAGCTTTCGATAATGACGTTGAGGCTCTGTTGTCTCTTCGACATTTTTTGTCCTTTCTGCCATCAAATAATCGAGAACTACCTCCGCATAGAGAATGCTGTGATCCTATGAATCGTGATGTTCCCCTTTTGGATCAAGTTGTTCCTCTCGATCCCTTGGAGCCCTATGATATGCACAAAATCATTAATGTGTGTTTTATCTTTTTATATTCATCTTTGAATTATACTTAAAGCTATCTGTTTTGATTTATTGCCCAATCAGTTTTATTAAACGAAAATAGTCTAATCCTTGGTACAATGTATTGATTAATGAATCGCTAGGAAAATTTTTTTTCATAATCAACGTTGCTTACAGTTGTTCCAAGGTCCACCTTCTGTTGTGGTTAGAATGATCAACTCATTGCATTGGTTCCTAATTGTCTCTTTATAGAGCACATTGTCTTGAGTGTTTGGAAACTAATTCCTCGGTGCCAACTGTTGCATCAACGCAACCTCCTTCTCTGAAGCCAGTCCAATTGACGCTTACATTTAAATATTATTAATTGGTATCTAGACCCCTTGATTGTTACATCAAGGTATTCGTGAACCTTTGTTTGACCTTTTCTTCATTTGTGCCATTTAATTTGGAAGCTTAATCTGATCATGGCAGTGGTGTTTGATGTTTGTTTTCTACTACGTATGTACATTCGAAAGCCTTGAATGCCTGTTTATTTAGAAAGTCATACGATGGCCTCAACGTCAACTGTCGCTAAACATCAATGTCACAACTCCGTTTCTTTTATCACCAGGTAGTAATTTGGCTTTAAAGGAAGTTGGTAAGAAACTGGTCACTTCGCTCCTTATTGCCAACTCTTGAGATCTCATCGATTTGGAAATGGTTTCCAGTATATGAAATCTGGATTGGAAAATTTGTCAGTAAACTCCCTTTTTCACTTGATATCAAGGACAGATGGTGAAAAACTGTAGTAGGACTTTCCTGTTAACTATTAGTTAGCTTCTATTTACGGTCATTCGTTCTATTCTAGACCTTTTCCCCTCCCCTATTCTAATCGAGGCATTTCTTACCTTTAGGCAGTAGTTGATGAGTCTGAATTCTTTGAATTGATGGAATTCCACGCGCCTAACATAATCACTGGTTTCGCGCGTCTGGGAGGCTATCCCGTTGGCATAGTTGCCAACCAACCAACAGTCGCCGCTGGTTGTCTAGACATTGCAGCCTCAGTGAAGGGGGCCCGTTTTGTCCGTTTCTGTGACGCCTTCAATGTTCCACTCATCTCTCTTGTTGATGTGCCTGGATTTCTGCCTGGTGTGGGTCAAGAGACCGCTGGAATCATTCGACATGGTGCTAAACTCATTTTTGCGTTTTGTGAAGCTACTGTACCGAAGATTACGGTGATCACTAGAAAGGCTTATGGTGGAGCCTATTGTGTTATGAGCTCGAAACACATGCGAGGCGATATCAACTACGCTTGGCCATCAGCTGAGGTTTCCTTCAGTATATTTATTTGTTTATTTAGTTATTTATATCAAATGACAGCCCTTTAGCTGGTTTCGGACTTCATAGAGAGGAGAAGGAACATCAAAGTTGGGAAAATTCGAGAGGGGGAACAGAAGAGTAATTCAAAGACGTGAATAGACAGACACAAAGGCAGAGAAAAGGTATGATGAGTACTGTGGAAGTGGTCAAATATGACATACAGTTGGGGGGGGGGGGAGGATCATGGTTGTTTGAAGTCAGAGGTCAACTGCCGCAAATGGACAGATATAAAAGCGACTGGCATAAAAATAGGAAAAAGGGTAAGGTGAGTACGGTGAAAGTGCACGAACACGCTTTACAGCGGGGTCATGGCGGCTTGAAGTCAGAAGTTAACTGCCAGTTTATTGACTTATTTTTGTCGTTTAAGTATATATTGCCCAGGGTGCACCATGGGCTGTTGGTTAGGCTATGGAAACAGTAAGTTTTCGTATTCTAGCTAATTTAATTTCCACTATACTGTATATAATTATGTAGTTCTAGTAATTCACATTCTTTAAAACTCATAAAATTTATTTTGTGATCGGAGTTAATTATTATTTACGTAAAAGGCTTGCATATTGATTTTTTTACCCACGTACTTTTCACTTAATCTAACTTTGCTTTCAAAAAGGGAATGTTTGGAGGATTTTTCTTTTGACTACTTTCTCCACTCATATCCTTTTCTAAGCATTTCTTGTGATTTCTCCATTTCGTCGACAACGAGAGTACATAAGTAGGCATTTCACGTCATTTTACAATTGTAGATCGCGGTGATGGGAGCTAAGGGTGCAGTGCCAATAGTCTTCCGCAGTGAATGCACCTCACCGGAGGCGGTGGCTGGTCTGGAGGCCTCTTACGAGCGGGCATTTGCGAGCCCATTTCCCGCAGCAGCTCGCGGCTACGTGGACGATATAATTGAACCTCGTAGGACTCGAGCTCGTCTGTGTGCTGATTTGGAATTACTTCGAAACAAACGCCTTCCAACAAGTACGCGATTTCCTCGAAAACATGCTAATATGCCCCTGTAAATGTAGACGCTGAATGGAGAAATTTTGCTTGTATATTTAGAAAGTTAATGATGATGAAATAGTAATACATTGGCATTTTTTTATTTAAGCTGTTCACAATTTGCAACAAGAGAAACAACTACCTACTTATGTTATTTAGGTAGCAAGTTGTACTGGGATTCCCTTAATCCTGCCCTTCCCCCTCCCCACCCAACAGTGAAAAACTTACACTATGTCCTTGGTAAACCTGCACCCTCGAAAAGATTTCAGCAATTTACTAGGTCTCCGTTAAAATGATGGCTCGTAGATTCGATCGATCCCCGCTACACAGGGGCCAGTTCCCAACGCCACCAAGTGCTCTTACTTTCTATGCACTGGAAGTAAAGATAAGTATCGCATTGCAGTGGATGCTCAGTTACGAATAAGCATTTGTGCGGGTATTAAATGATTATAATTGAAGGGAGAATCGTAAATCATTAGACAACTCAAAGAAGTAGCACTAATCCTACTGTTCCATTCCTCCAAAAGTAAGGACTCTTGGTTTGGGCGTAGGGATTGCGAGAAACTTGAATTCTGCCACATCCTTCTTTGACTAAACTTGGCGCCAATGTGGTTAGTCGATCCGTTTCCTGATGTGCAACTATGGACATTGAGAACGTGACGTCTCTTTGTATAAACGAGGTGCTACGAGTACATGCATTAGCTAGTACTCATAGTAGTCACGAGGCAGTTAGGTCATTGATTCTACTTTCCAATGAACAGGTGTTTTTTTGCACATAGTTATATGAAATTTGCAAAGGCAAATGGTAGGAAGGTTGGTTCTGAGAATTGAATTCGGCTATGCTTGAACAATGTGCTCATGCTTTGATTTGAACCTTATCCACTTTGAACTGCCAAGCAATAAGATGTGCTGCACTCTTTCGATTGGTGCCCCTACTGCAAATTTGAAACAATCAGAGTCGAACCAAGACGAGTTCTATGATCACTGAGCCATGAACACACAGACAAATCAAATTCAAACAAAGCCAAACTAACACAGAACAATTTGCTGTGTTGCTGAAAAAATTGGACAGTAGTCTTAACTGATCACATTTCGTTGCAACGTAACTTTCAGGTTATCAGCATATTCCATCTATCGAATTACTTGCACGATGGTGTTTACAATGAGTGAAATTAATCTAAGTCTTTGGCTGGGATCTCAACTCAAACAATCTTGAACTTTTTCCACTTACTTCCTGAATCCCATCCGCCGTCTTTACGAGTGGTACTTCGATGCTATCAACGAATTTTGCTAGACATTTCAAAGTGGAATTCATAAGTGTGGGGGGGGGGGCGGAATTGGGTCCAAACTTACTGAATAGCTGGACGATATTTTGCCTTCATTGAAGTGGACAGAGAGAGAGAGAGAGAGAGAGGAGTTCGGGTGCATTGGTTAGTCCATTATTTGACGTGGAAATTGAGGATTTCTTTCGAGAAGGGTCCAACCACTCCGTCTTTTATACCTAAATGCTGGTTGTTTTTGAATTGGCTGAATTCAACATTAAAGATTCCTGGAACCTTGGCAACTCGGATGACTTACGGAGATGTAATTTCATTTGTGTAATCACTACAAAATGGAGAACACCAGGGATAACTATCTATCGGCCACTTTCGGTGAGTAGTATTATGGATTAAGCACGAATTTTTAAACGGCAGATAAATTTAGAGGAATAGATTTTAAATTTGCATGTTTTATCCTAATATGAATAATACTGCCAAGGTTGCATGTTTTAAATTTATTGAAGTCTGGTGTCGAAGTGTTTCCTGAGGGACTATTCGGCACTACTTGAAAGAAGTTGCTTTAATCCAACCTCGTTCATCCCTGCAAACGTCTTTATTTACTAAACCCATACAGTTGGCGGAGCCGACTTGGTAGAGTATTGGGGTTGGTCACACTTTTTAGGCATTAGTGACTGTGTACTAGAAGAAAAGGTGCCCAATATGGGGTGAAGTACCAGACGATATGTAGGGTAGTCGTGGTGTGCGATAGACTTAACTCCACGTGCTGCACTCTTGCCAACGTATACTCATACGGCAAAAAAGTATATTAATCGGCAGTTGACTTCTGACTTCAAACTACCATCACCCCACTGTATGTCATATTCGACTACCACCACAGTACTCACCTCAACTTTTCTACCTTTGTGTCTGTCTCTTTTACATATTTGAAACAGTTCTGTGCCCCCCATCTCAACTGCTTTCACATTGATGTTCCTTCCCCTCTGTGAAGCCGAAAGTCAAATAAAGGGCTAATGATAACTGTCAAAACGCCTGCCATTTGGTATAAATAAATAAATAATGCAAACACTGAGTAAATATCAGAAACCGTTGTTAATACGGATATGTGAGCGCCATTTAAATTTCGATCTAATAGAATTTAACCTGTTTTTTTAAACGAGTGTCAAAATTAACAAATTAAAATTAAATATCATTCCGATGGAGTGTAAGTGATAATAATAAAATTGAAATAAGTATTTATACTGCATTTATTTGCAAAAATTAAAGCTATTATTATTGCTTTATTATAGTGCACGTGTTGACAGGCGTCAAATTTGAATAAAACAGCGTGACCAGATCGATTTTAAAGTTGCCATGGATCAAATCATTTCAGGTTTGTGGTTAGGTTCTCGGCCTGACGATAGTCAGATCGAGAATTTGAGAAGGCACCATATTAACAGCATTTTAACCATTGAAAAGTCTCCACTCTCAAGGTCGTTCTCATCTTTCAAGCAGATGTTCATCTCCATCAATGACCTGCCTGGAGAAAACATGTTTGTGCACTTTGAAAGTGCATTTAAGTTTATTCACGACAACATTTCAAAAGGCATTTTAGTACACTGGTAAGTTTCTTTTCTTTTTTTGTTGAAAAAATGAAATTATCTGCTTTGATAGTTATCAAGGTAGATCACGAAGCGCGACAGTCGTGATCGGTTATATAATGTGGAGAACGAAATCGCCCTATGAAGAGGTTTTCACAGAAGTCAATGAAATTCGTGAAATATGGCCGAATGACGGTTTTGTGTTGCAGTTGAGATATTTTGAGAAAAATAATTTTAAATTCAACAGGACGTGTGGGACTTATCGTCTTCTATTAATACGACTGAGTATCTTATCGATAAAAATGAGGTTTATAAGGTGTCTTCTGCGTTTTGAGGATTGCTAAAATATTTCCTACTGTGTGTGTGTATTTTTATGCCCTAAACATTGCTCTAAGTGAGTCATTTTCTCCAGTTAATAAAAATATTAATAGAAAGTGAGATTGGTTTTATCCAGTTAGCAGCTAATTAATTTGAAGCAAGCCTTTAGGAGTTCAAATCACTAGGTGAGGCGATTTAAACTTCCGTTAATGATCGTAACATGCTAAAGACATATGGAATTTAGTGATACAAACTTTGTATGAAAAATTTGTTGGACAACATCAATATGCCCACTTGTTGCTGTCGGTCTAAATTAAACCCACGCGCGAATGTGGGGGTCGATAGTTGAAGAATTCATTTCATTAACACTTTTTTTCAAATGGCCGACTTTATGATATTTATCATTAGCCCAAATTTGAAAAATTAAATAAGGAGGTTCCACCACTTCCTCCATCTTTGAGAGACTTTACCCAACAGATTATCACATCTTCAGGCCTATTGAGTTTATTTTGAGAAATGTGCGATTTCCATGAATGCCGTATTTGGAAATACCAGATCTCCTCAAATAGACCTTAATAAAATTAGAGTTCGACGAGAAAGATGTGTAAATTTTTTCCCGCAAATTGCCTTGTATGCCCTATTTAATTATAAATGATACTTTTAATAGCCAATGATTTCTATATCTAAGCCCAATTTGAGGAGGATCAATAGAGCGTGATTGATTAAAACACACAATTACTTACTCTGGTGTGTCAGTCGGCATTCAATCCAAGTATTGAGCTTCTTAATTGAAACTTTAAGTCATACTGACCATTATTTGATGAAAGATCTACATTTTAGTTTTGTATTGTTGCCTCACAATTGATATTGCTTCAAACAAATAGATATGAAAGTGTGGCCAAACCTTTCCTTCTAACTTTCCCATGCCCAATATCTGTTTTCCACGCGGTCTTCATCAATATTAAAAGAAATGGGGTGTGGGATCGACTTACCTTCTCGTTGTGCATCCTGGGCAACGTATAATCATACGGCAAAAACGTCTATTAACAGGCAGTTGACTTCTCACTTCAAACTACCATCACTCCACTGTATGTCATATTCGACCCCTACCGCAGTACTCATCTTACCGTTTCTGAGCCTTGGTGTCTGTCTGTTTCTTTTACATCTGTAAATCACTCTTCTTTCCCCCCTCCCGAATTCTTCTCACTTTGATGTTCCTCCTTCTCACCTCTGTGAAGCCCGAAGTCAACTAAAGGGCTAATGATAACTTACAAACCACCTGCCATTTGTTATAAATAAATAGATATTAAAAGAAATAAATGATCGTTTTTGATGATCTCTATTCTCGTTTACAATGTCCTTTCTATCAACTCACGTTGTCTCATCTCCTGTTTCTAAATTCTACTCTCTACGCCTTCGTGTCGATTTCGAATCCCCTTACCACTAGAATTTGATCCAACTTCCGTTATTCCACTGAGTACGCCATCGACTTGGCTATTCAATGAAAATTGCAATTATTTCTCCTGTTAAGACTGCACAACGCAATTGCGGTCATTCGCAAAATTTGATTTAGAAAATTCGATGGTTTTTAAACTCTGATTTTGTTAAGAGAAATACATTCAGCATTGCACCGTACTTGAAGTCACTTCTGACACTTAGTTGGAACACTGTTCATAAATGGAAGCTATTGAATTGCATGGAGTTGCAAGGGAGGAGTTTGTGAGCAAACAGGATAGTCCATGGAAATGTACTCTTAGAAACGCAGTTACCAAGAGATTACTACGCTCATTGCTGATCCTATAATTTACCATTGTTTCTTAAATGCACGATTTATGAAACGGTAAG